ATCTTCCCCAAGAGTTCACATCTACGGGAAGGTTTGGCACCTCGACTCGGCTGTATATGTGGGACATTATGCTGCAATGGACTTGTATGGGATGTGACCTCCCTTGTTTTTCTTCCACAGGTTGCCCAACAAACTGAAAATTTACTTATAGAAAAAGAAGTGCAAAGTTCGTGCTCAGTGAATGCTGTTCAAACAGTCGACATGTGGAAATTTTATAAACTCTGTTTATCTTACCAGTTCTGGAACAGCATTCTTCATTGAGCTTATCTGTTGCATCATCTCTTTGAGAGCATTCTCCATGGAACTGCACCATGGAATTGACACCGTGAACAACTGCTGTCTTGTGGACTTACTCATAACAAATAGACAAATATCTATATGTAACACTTTAGTTACTAGTACATATGAATGTCAGACCCAATTACCAAACTCATCAGATGCATTCCCTTAATCTACGGCGACTGAGAAAAGTCAATGTAAAGCTGGAAAACATATTTATGCAGCACATAGATAACAGAAGCAAGTAAAGTTAATTAGCAGCTATCTCCAAATGCACCGTCCTTTCAGCGATCGACAAAAAAATGTAAGTGCAGGTATTACACTTTGCTGAACAGAATCATGGATTGATGACTTATGACACTCGATGATATTTCTAGTTGGCGAGACAACACCCATGGAAATTCTCTTAGAAGAATCAGTTGATGCAGATTTAACAACAAACCAAATAAAATATATTCACTTTTGTAAGCATTCAACCAAGTCAGATTTAGCACTGACCCATTCTACCCTGACCTGTCCAGCAAAGAGAAATAGCAGAGAATTACATTGTAATCTGTCACATATTCATCTCATTCAAGTTTCACATCACAGGTATTCTCATTGTTCTCCTTCGACATGCAAGTTGTCATTGACCATATTTTCCAAGATTCAAGGAAAAAATTATGTCCAAGCCACTTCATTGAAAATGTGGATCTTTTGATGATCCATACTATCCGAAACAACATGAAAAGCCTAAATCATGTTATTAGCGGAATTGCTTGGTCATTTTTACCAGTCAAACGATAATTCTCTATGCATCCGGCAGCAATTTCTCAGGCAGATTTCTATCCGGAAGCTGACCGGAAGGACAGAAATGCATCCAACCGCTTCTAATAAAAAAGATCAGCAATTGGAGTGCACTAAAGACTCTACTTTGTATGTCCAAGTTGGCTACTTTACTCATCTTACCATTCTCCGGACAACCTTCTCCATCCACCAGCTCCTCGGCATGAGATTCCTCTCAGACCGGTGCCTACTCGACTGTGTGAAGATCACCACAAAAGTACAATCAAGATAGGACAATTTAGCAAACAGGACAGCAAAGAAACCCAGTAAAAATAACGGTTCACTGGCCGAAATCGCATAAGTAGGAAATACTGCAATTGGCGCACGCCGAAATCGCATAACAGATTCGAGACGGGCAACATTGGAGGTCCTTAATGCTTCGTATCTAAGCCACAGCACAACCCCACGGACAAAAAACTGAACGAAAGCGATTCAGAACCGTCACGAGGCAAAAGGCTAATCAATGTTATGCTTCAACGCAGGCTTTGCCATATTTTGTCATTCCAAGAATCTTCAGCTCAAGAACTCTTCATTGAGTATCCCTCAAGTAAAGCTAAAACGAACACCATCATCAAATATCGAAACGTGGAGAGGGAAGAGTGAACTCAACCTCATTGGAGCGGTGCGTGGCCTCTTGAGTTGACTTGGTTGACCTGAAGAAGTGGAAGCCAAAGGTCTCTTTTGCATCAACATGATTTTCTTTTCTTTTGGGGAGCTTATCAAGAACTTGGAAGGATTTGGTCGCTGAACAAACGGGAACAAATGTAGCAGAGCAAATGAAGGAGACGATGAACTGTCAATGCACGAACTCAAGCTCAAACTCCAACGTAATGAGTTTGTCATCATGCGTGGGTGTTTTTATGGTGTCGGTTCTGGAGTAGGCACGTCAAGTCATAGTGCATTTCCGGGAATTGCAACCGGTTTTTAAATTTTTCTTTTTTCTTTTCTCAGATTCTAAAAATTGACAACAATCGCTTCTTGACTGCTGCTTGTAAATAATAACTATAAATATGCGTTATAATTATTTATTGAGAAAATTTATGTACATTGAGGAATGTTGTAGGCTAATTAATATGCCTCTTCATTAAATTGACGATGTCGAGAAAAAGATTATCGTTGCTTGATTTGTTACGTAAGTTTTTTTTTTTGTTTATCATACAATTGATAACAAATCACGATAACATTATTTTACGATTCTGCTATCGTCACTTTTCGACGTACTTTTAAGCATATATTCATTCGTTTATATATCATACACCTTCCAAATTATTAAAAGAGGATTTTACTTAATCGGTCACCAGTAATAAAGGGCGTGGATGCGCGTGCTCCATCCTGGACGACAAATATTAACAAAAAATTTCCATTTGACGAAAAAATTCCTGAGAATTAGGAAATTAATCGTGACCAGACGGAATTGCACTGGAAAAGGTCCATCGACAGTAACTTGGAAAAGCGTTTTCTTAGTTCACGGAGAGAACCAACTTCAATGTAGATAGAAATTGTACAAAGAAAAAAGAAGAAGTCGAATGCGCGTGGATATTTGTTTTTGCTGCACATGCGATTGAAGAGCGGGCCACTCGATTCGCTTTTTTTTAATCAACTCCCACGGCGACCTGGGCATATTGACGTAACATTCGATCGCGCAATTCAATTATCACATATTATGTGTCGTCTCTGGTTGTCTTTCTTCCGGCATCTCCTCCATCCGCCGGTCTCTTCTGTCTCTGTCGTGGCCGTCCAACTTCTCTAGCTGACTCGAGTCTCCTCGCCAGTTTGGACTGGTGGTTGTTGCCGTCGTTGTCGTTGTTGCTGTTGAAAGAGAGAGAGGAAGAGAACCACGTACATGCAACGGCGTGACCGACAAGGGGAATTTTCCGCGAAAATCAGGTCATGTCGATTTTCCTGGAAAATGCCTCATGGTTCCGGTTCGTATGATTTCTTGGCCACGCCCCACGCGGGGCGAGCCCAAAAAGCCAGCATGTTAGGTAGTTTTCAGACATCATATTGCTCAGTAACTACGGGTCTACTGCTAGCTATGGGTCCAAAAATGCTTTGGTTGAACCCGGAAATTGCAATGTCTTACAGGCCTTCTGGATCGAACGGGATCGATTACGGGTCAGTGGATGATCAGACTCATAGGATTTTTCCAAGGCAAAAGTCGTACATGGGACCAGTTTGATAACCCAGTTAGCTACTAAAAATTTATAAGTTCAGCACTTAACGAGATTAAGATTGTTGGAGAACTTTAAACAGAATCGACTTCTATCGAACCAAGAGGGGAGTTACTTCAAAATCAATGGGTTATGTAAAGTCGATACGGAAATTAGTACTTTCATTATTTTTCGCAATTTAGGGTTTCAAAAATTAGGGTTTCCTCACCATGCACACATGAAAATAGTAGGTCTTAGCAAATACCTGAGGTACGATGTTTGTACCGTCGCGGAAATTGAGTCAAAGGAGGAACGAGCAAGGGCTGTCGCCTCCTGGAGAGCAAAATACCCAACGTACAACATTTTTAGAGGTTAAACTCAAATGAGCTTGTGATCTCACTCCCCATAAGCTCTACATTTCTGGCTCTTTCACCGACCGTACAATTAGACGATTTAAATTTGATTACGGGCGAAGTGTCATAATATCATAGATTTACGTGTGCAGCGTTTTTATTCGTAGTTACGATTCCATGTCCTAAAGTTGTACTGTATAATAGGTGTATCTTAAAAGTGTGACAGAGAGAGAGACATATTAATGGGACATTACTGACCATTTGATTCTGAATTGTCAAATATAGTATTCAATTTGCGTGGTTCGCAAAAATTATTCAAAATTTAACATCTCCCTTCACTAACCATCCTCTACCCTATTGGCTTTACGAGCCTCTCTCCAAACCCATATCAAGAGTTTGAAAGTTGCTACTGTTGGATGTTTGTTTGTAAAACAAACAAAACAATATTTTTTCCTTTGTCCCACATAGGAAAGTTTTGGGTAAGTGGGCCATTTTATAACTGTGAGTGTCTTCTTACTCCTTAGAGTGAAGACAATGGGGTGTGTGCTAGTCCACACGATGCCCGCGTGCGGGTGCGCGAATAATTGCGCGATTTTGGCGCGATTATTAGGCGCACTTGGCACTTAGCTCTAATCCCTTTATTTTTTATTTTATTTCGTAAGGTTATCTCCTTAATCTTTATTAGTTGAAAGGTTGTTTTTTGTTTATTAAATAATTTTCGAAATTATGAAAATTCGGAATTTTATTTATATATATTTTTATTTTATTTTATTCCGAATTTTACATGTGTTTTTTTCAAGACAACTTTTGGAGATTATACTTGTTCAGTTTTCAACCTTTTCCGAAGGTTGCATTTGTTCAGTTTGCAACTTCTTCCGAAGGAATATCTTTGTTAGCTTTGCAACCTTTCGTGAAGAGTTGCCTATGAAGACCGATTTCTATATATGTCAGTTTTTGGCAAGAAGGAAAGATTAATCAATTTTTTTCAAGTCTTCTTTCGAAAAACTACAGCCATCATTTTCAATTGTTTCCTAGAGAGACCCTGGAGAAATACTAGAATTGCTATCTAGTATTCTCAATTTGAGACTTTGTTGTATCCTGGAGGATTTTTGCCGGTGACCATTAGCAGTATTGTGGGGCAAATAAATCCTTAAGGAAAGTGATATCACGCCTCAAAGTCCGACTTGATTACTCTCTTGATTCGAAGCCATTCAAAATTTACAACAGCTACTTGGTGATGAGAAGAGAAAGAATGTTTACTGTATAGTTCTGCTGTAATAGAACTCACGAGATTCAAGCTCACAAATTCCATCTTGTCATCATGAAGCCACAAGCTTCTGATAAAATAAATATGACTCAACTCGTATTATTAAGATAAATAAAAAGTCTTCACGGCCAATGCCCTGAATGTCAAATCCAAAAAGTTTGCCGTGAGCAAGCAGTGCTTGGTCGATAGCCACATGATTCAAGCCCTCATTCACCTCATAGTTGCCAATCAATCCCATTATCCTCAATATCTGAAAGAGAACACGGTAACATCATATTGGGACCACAATTCAAACACTATGTTTGCTAATTTCCATGGAACCATAGCTGAACATTGTCGAATCTCACGCTACTAATGAGGCCATCACTATGTCCACTACAGGTTTTCCTAGAAGTTAGTATGCATAATTTGCCACAATAATTATACTTCGATCAGTCCTTATCATCAGATAAGTCGTATTAACGAGATAATGTAACTCTTGCAGAGAGATAATCATAATTGATATCTTAGAGAGTACCTACATAACTCTCTTTGCATGCAGTCACAACAGTTGTAAATTAACTAGACCCTATCAAACCCCTAAGAAGAGGTTATCAGTATGACAAAATTGAGTCGACTATCATATTTGAGATGCCAAATGATTTAGTGTTTCATTTGAGCCAGCTTCACGTTTACTTGTTTAGCTCCCTAATGGAACTGATCATAGCAAATATCGCAAAAATATCCATCTCTTTAAACTCATTTGTTGGTTTATAACCCTAATTTCACCATTCAAGAGTTGTAGACTGTTGGGTTATTATTGTCACTCTCTCTATGGTTGCTCTTTGCCCATTTCTTGGCAAAAGAAGGAATTTAAAAAAACAAAACTGCTTTCCTTAATGAGAAGAAATGAGCTGGTGCAATTCTTACTTTTCTATACACAAACACGAATGTGTCACATGAAAATGGATCAAGACCCAAAATATTAAAGCCATAGAGGTGATCCCATTTTATTTCATTCCAGCTAGTCATACCCACACCACATTCATCATCACGGCGAATATTAATTCTGCATATTTTCAGTATAGAAGTCCCAAACTTTCTTCTCAATTTTTCCACGAGAGAGGATAAAATAATACCATACCACGAAGCAATCGACATTACAAGGAGAAAATTCAACTTACCGAAAGCTAGGAAGCTCGAAGGTGACTCATACGCTTGGCCGAATGGAGGTACATTTTTATCTGCTGAAGGCTCTATTTGGTCGATACAGTCAATAAATTGGTTCGAAGGGCCATTTTGGGAATTGAGACCTTGTGACTGTGTTGGCAATCGAGCAGCAGTGATGCCACTATTTTCTGAAGAAAGAGAGAGAGCATTTAAATAATCAGCATTTTGTTGCATATAGACATTACGAGCTATTAAAGGATACAAAAATGGGTACTTCTATGATGCGGTACAAAGCCAACAACTTTTCTTTGTTCTTTAATTTTGTTTGTGTATTCACCACTTTGACATCATGCTTTTCCCCCACTTCATATCTTGTTTATCTTCATATTCTTCCATTTAACACGTATTCTCTAATTAGAAATGTTACTTCGATTTTCCGGTATATGCAACTTGAAACCAACCTCGACATTATGTTTTACCGTTTTCAAACAAATATATAAGCTAAATGCAAAGAGATAAAGTAAAGCTACATTGAGCATCTTGTGAATCACAAATATGCTCTTAACGTCTTACTCTACATAAAGAGAGGAATATACAGAAAGTATTATTTTTTGCAGATATTACTCTGTGTGTGACCAAACAAACCTGTCGTTTCACAAGTCTTAATGGTTTTCAACAGATCAATTAGGTTCAAAGGACACAGTACATTTTCCTTATATACCTCATACACGGGAGTGTAGATGTGACAACCTTTAGGCACCTAAGCACAATGGAATATGATTTGACCATCGATGCACACCATGAATGTGGGCAAGCCGAAGCAAGTCTCCTAGGTGTGGGATCAACATCAAGCCCATACATTCCTACCATTGTGAGTTATATGGACAGTTCAACTAAATAAATTTAGGTCCCAAAACCCATCCAATAATTAGGACATTGCAATCATGTGCTTCATGAGAAATGAGAACAGACACCAATGCTCCTACCCTGTATAATATTTCAGCATTTTCTTGTCTGACTATGCTACTTATGGAACGGTTGGTTTTCATCACCTCCAAAGCCATATCATTGGAATCCTGCATATTTTTCTGCTGAAGGTGTATGGTACTGTGAAACTTTTAGTTGCACCGTGTCACTTTGATAACTAAAACCCCAAAAGAAGTGGGTACATCTCAGCTAGTGTTTTATTATAGGCAACTTTTTCTTTTCCTCATAGACAGTTAGAGCGCATACCTTCCACTGTGGATGCTGAACTTCTTGGAGGTACTTTCAAACCAACTTGACTGGCCAATCTCGGCGGAGGCATATTGTCGTGCACTGGATGGCAGCATTGCTGATCTCCTAGAACTTCAGATAGGAAAGAACATGAGATCTTCTCCGACATGGAACTTGAAGAAGCCTCAGCATCAAACTGTCTAACATCATTCCAATTCTCATAGGCCTTTTTCGCCAATCTATCTGCATAGTCCTGGAAGACTTGAAAATTACTACTTCCTCAACCAGTCGCCTTATCAGGCTTATCTTACACGCAAGGTGACTCAAAGAATTCAGGCTGGACTTGTATGGATAACAAAGGCACAAAGAAGATGCGTCTAATATGTTTTTTTTTTTTTCCAAACAGATCAAACAAGGTAGGAAGATGCAAAGTTAGTGGTCAAAATATCAATAAGAAAATCGAGGACATCAAGTTCACAGAATTTGCTGAAAGCAACAAAAAGCATCTCCAGTTAAAAGTACCATAACATGGCAAATGAGTCAAAACTTAGAACTCGGTCCTAAGCTGCTAAATGCACTCCTGATGTTGCACATGGTGGTTTTGGTCCCATGGAAAGTGAGAGTACCAGCTAGAGTTTCATTTTTGGTTAAGAGAGCTTCTTGGGAACGTAATCTCATGTTGGACAGTTTACAGAAAAGAGGGAGTGTGCTGGTCTATAGAAGTTTCCTTTTCAAGAGAGAGGTAGAGACAGCGAGTCTCCTCCTTCACTCACCGTGGACAAGAATGATATGGGTGACCACTTATGCGTGCACTGGGCTATCTTGGGTTATATGAGGATCAATTGAACAAGAATCATGGGCATGGAAACGACTTCATTTGCCTCTTACTAAGAAAAGCAGGATTTCTTCAATCCCTCCTCTTGTTTTATGGTTGATTTGGAAAGAGCGAAATCAGAGAGCTTTCATTGGAGAGGAACACCCCCCCCCCCCCCCCAACTCTTTTTCTCGGTGCCCCTTATTAATATATTCTTTTTCCGGTCGAAAAAAATATAGCGAATATCATCAGATGTTCCCTTTTCTGGTTCTTTTTGTTGTTTTCCTTGGCATTTACAAAGCTAAAACTAAATGCACCTAATTGTTAGGAACCGCTCCCTGATCAACTGTCATACCTATGCTATAGTGACAATGCAGATAAAATTTTAACTGATAATCTAAGGTCAAGGGTTGTCCCTTGCAGATTGCATAGTAAATATCAGAAAAGGTAGAATTTCCCAATTACCTTCTGCTGGGGAGAAAATCTGTCAATAGTACAAAACACCCCGTTCACAGCAAGGCCACTGAGTTGACCAACATTGTTGAGTATAACAGCATGATCACTTTCATTATCGTGATAGTACACGTAAAGTTTCCCATTCAGAGTGCAAGTTTTTGCATGATCTAGGAGGACTTTCCACTTCTTGTCAGTCATGCCCTTTCCGAGAATCTGCAATTAGCAAACACAACATTATTCTTCCTGGTTCAGGGACTTCAATCCAAATTTGAGAACCATGTGCTGAATCTCACATTTCTCAGTTTCTTGGAGTCCATGGAGAGTTGTCGTAAAAACTCTTCCACCTTGTATATTCCTGCTTCATTCAGCCTCTTGTGAGATGATCCATCCTTTGCAATATTTGCCAATCTCCAGACCTCATCGTCAGATGCTGGTGGATAGTGTTTCTTGTATGCTGTGAAGTTAGAAGAACGTATTAGAGGAAGAAAATTGCAGTAACGCTAAGATCAATAGGCCAAACAAACTTGTGCAACTAAAAACTCCCTTTACTACTGGCCAAAGCACTAAGGCAGATTAGCCGAAGAAACCCCTTTTCCTTTCTTCAGGAAAAAATCTAGAAACAGGTCAATAAACTTCTATATTAAGATTCGTTACAAGTTAGTTGAATTGTTAGCTTAGAAATGAAGCTTTACTTTGTAACTACCACGAGGGGAGTAGAATTCTAAATATTTATTTCTTAGAGATAAAAGATAAAGACTACCATGGACTTACACTCTCCTCTATGCTCCTTCACAGTGAACGCCTCTGTTTTTGCTTCGCAAATGCGAATATTCTCACAATATCCAGGCGACACCCGTAATCCTAGCCTGAACTTCTTGCTCCGATTCCAGCTTGAATTGTCAGTGAACGCTAACTCACCCAGCACCCCAGTGCCTCCCTTTAGAATCACTTCAAGGTTTCCAGTAAGCAGAGGCCTCTTCCCTTCCCGCTCCTTCACTACATATTTCTCAAATTCTTCCTTGGTCCAGTAATCATCATCCTCTTTCTTAAAATCACCATCAATCACAACAACATCCAACTTAACAGAGGACTCTGGACCTGATTCAACAATATCGCCTGTATTTGCATTGATTAATATGACAACAATGGGCGCGCCGTGCTCTCCTTCTAGTTTCTGCCCAGTAAAGAGAGGGAGGGAGAGCCTGGTTTTGAATTGAAGCTGCAAGTTTCTCACTTCATCCTTCTTTCGACATTTTCCAGAAGATCTGCATTACCTCATCAATTAGCATTATAAGGTATTGAAAGACCCAAGCTCAAGCAAGAAAACATGTGCTGCTGGAAATAAGGAAGTGATCAAAAACTTACTACATGTACATCATAAGGCTGAAAGTGTTTCTTTGAATTATACCGTGGTTTGATTGACTTTGGTTCAAACAAGGATGAACGGTAATTGTCAGCAAACTCCACAATCCAGTTTGATGAAATATTCAATTTTAACAAGAATTGTTTTCAGTGTGCTTGAGCCAAAATTTTATCAATTATGGTTAGTGCAAAGCACTGTTACTGCCTAAATGACCTTTTGCATTCGAGTGTTGACTTTTTTAAATGAAGTTACAGTTTTTTTTTTTAATTCAGCCGTGAAATTACAGTACTTGCACTAGTCACAGACCCAATCAACATCGAGAAAGCTTAATGTTTTTTGACCTGATATTACCAGAGCTGCGATGGCGCACCCTAGAGTAGCATGAGCCCAACTACAAGATCATATACCTAAGACTAATAGAAATGACTTCCTTTTATATTTTGTATCCAAATTTGATCACATAAAAGCATAAACCTGGTGCACTAACTATGTACAATTCATTCAATATGGGCTTAGAGCGACATTTCGTGTGAAGATGTCGTAGAGAACCAGCTTGACAGCTTGATAGATAAGAAACATATCCAAAATGCCACCAAAGTAACTAAAAGTATACACTAACCTTACAAGTTGAGCAGATTGAGAACTTGCATGCTCCAACTCTTCCCTTACCTGACGAAAATTCACTAAGAATGAGGATGCACAACTGCATATAAAAAAACTATGAAGAATATTTTTTTTGATGTTTCCAAACTTTTCTACTAGCAATTTGTTGAGCACAACATCTAGCAGAAAATCCATAGGTCCTTAGAAGGAGAATGAACAAGCAACTACACAGTTGCAACAGAGAGTTATATCGCACCTCTAGGTATTCTCTACTACCCATTCTGTCAGTTTCAAGTATACTAACTTTTTATTGAAAGGTCGTTTGAGCTTGTTCTGCGAGTATGGCATGAGTTATTTTAGCGACATAGCACCTCAATCCCTTTTATCAATTGTTATCCCACCCACTTTGAGGATGGATGAAAATTGAGGTTTCCCTTCTCTCTATATGTTCATGGCTCAAATAGACATCGGAAATTAAATACTTAGCAGCACATTTAGGCGACCTGACGTGATACATTTTCGCATTTCAAGTATGTCATTGTCTATGTGCACAAGGTTTTCAAAATGGTTATGATGATGCATCTACACCCTAGAGCATTTTCTACTGGAAGAATCATGTAAAGTTGTACATACAGACTATAAAATCTAGTTTTCAACATTGTCATTAGTCCAAGTAGAACTCATGACAATGGCTTTGCAGATATTTTAGTATTTTCATTGGCAGATGACTAGTTGGTATGGCAATTCTAAACCCTTCATGACTGATTATTAGCCAATGGGTGAACGTGAACTACAAAAGTATGTACACATTCTACAAAGCAGTAATCTACATGGTTCAATTATCTTACCACTCTCCGACTAGTATCCTCTAGCGATGAGCAAATTTTTGGAATTAGTTCCTCTTTGAGAGTGTTCCGAATGCGACTGCATCAAGAAAATTTGCACAGGGATTGGAATCCAATGGAGTTGTTATGGTGCAAACAAGAATCTGAATAACTCTAACTCTAAACTATCTTTTCACTTGTATTCAATGGTATACACAATTAAGTTTTAGATTGATTTGGAAGAATTGTCACTAATCCAGATCTGGGCGAGCTCGGCCCTCGCCGGCGGCGAGGGCTATTTTTCGATCAAAAAAAAAAAATTCGACCAAAAAAAAATTCTTTTTCGATGGAAAAAAAATTTCCACGATTTTTAACTCGACCAAAAAAAAATTTGTAATTTCCAACGAAAAAAATTGGTCGGAAAAAAAAATTCGTTTCCAACGAATTTAGCCACGAATTTTCCAACGAAAAAAAATTTATCGCAAATTTCCAACGAAAATTGAAATTTTTCGTTGGAAAAATTTGCGACGACTTATTATCAACGAATTTCTTTTCGTTGGAAAATTCGTTGGAAATTCGTTTTCCAACGAATTTTTCCAAATTTTTCATTGGAAATTTCGTCGGAAAAAATATGTTTTTTTGTAGTGTAAGTTGTTATTATTTAATTCCATTGTTATCAAAACTTGGGATTAAAAGTTGAACTCAAATGTGCTATAAATCCGTTCAACATGTTTAGATCATTTTTGGTAATTTCCCAAAAAATTCACACACTTGAAGCTCCACAACCAAAAAGAAATATCATGTCAGATGCAAAGAGAGCTTTGGCTTCCACTTCAAGTCAACCCAAGAGGCCATGCTTCGCTCCAATCAAGTGAGTTCACTCTTCCCATTTAATGTTTCAACGCTTGTTTGATTGTCTGATGATCGTTTTAGCTTTACTTGAGGGAAGTTAAACGTAGAGTTCTTGAGTTGAAGATTTTTGAATTGAGAATTATAACACTGATTAGCTTTCTGCCGGATGACTGTTCTAAGTCGCTTTCGTTCAGTTTTTTGTTTGTGGGCTGGTGCTGTGGCTTCAATGTGATGTATAAAAGACCTCAGATGTTGTCTTCTCGAATCAGTACTCCTTATTCGAATTGAACTTGTTAGAATTTTTTACCTGGCAAGTGGGCTATCATCGTTACCAGGTTAATTTGCTATTTAGATTTGTAAATTATCCTATCTTTGCTTGTATGTTTGTGCTGATATTCACACAGTCAAGGATGGAACAGATTCAAGAGGAATCTTGTGCCGGGAGCTGTTTGACGGAGGAGGATCTCCAGAGAGCGGTAAGATGAGTAAAGCAACCAACTTGGACGTACAAAATACAGTCTTTATTGTATTTCAATAGAGAGTATGGGTGTGCAAAGGAATCGGGAACTGTTCGGACCGCTTGGAATCGGACCGGACCGGCCCAGAACCAGCGGTTCCCATGGGAACCGGTTCGGTTCCCGGTTCCAATTTATTGAAACCAGTGAGTAGCGGTCTGGTTCCCGGTTACAAACATGAAACTATCCATTCATCCGGACCGGATCGGTATATATATTATTAGAAAAAATTTGTGGTTGGGGATGATATTTTTTCTGAGTGTAAGCAACTGTTGTATGCAAATGGTGACTCTATAAAGAAGAGAGAGAGAGAGGTGAAAGGGCTTGGTTTTTAGTTGGCGCATTTGAACATTATTATTTCTATTATTATTATTATTATTATTGGATTGATTTTGGTTGGGGGTTTGAATATCTAACAACTTGGTTTGACTGGGATTCGTTGTTTTTCTTTTCACCGCTTAATCCACTTTCTTTTTCCCCCGACGCCAATTGAGGCAAACCTCATTCTTTTTTAAAATCTGATCCGCCTTTACGACTCTTATCTGGCAATCCATGCGCGTATGCAAATTCCGTCATGTGACACATGCGAACTGGGAGATCTCTCTCTCTCTCTCTCTCTCTCTCTCTCTCTCTCTCTCTCTCTCTCTCTCTCTCTTTTGCGAGAGATTTTTGACGCTGGTCGTCATTTGCAACGTCTACAAATTGGGTGGGGGCTAATCACCCAACACATTTGTTTGATGGTCGAACTTGAGGACCATGATATTTAATTGATAAATGCAAATTTGTGGGGATTGGAGACCAGTTTCATAGATCCATCCGGGAACCATACCGGACCGGTCCGGTCTGGTTCCCGGGTAGATCCATGGAATCAACGGGCGGTTCCTGATTTTCATTTTTCGGAACCGGTCCTTAGCAGATGATTTTTAGTTCTAATGTGAGAACCGCCCACCCGGATCATTCACACCCCTAATAGAGAGAGAGTATTTACTGAAATTACTCCTCCAATAGATTTGGATGTGAACTGGGACGATGTTGTCTAGTAGATTTACTTGAGATGAATAGTTAGGTGAAGTGGTGGTTATGCATCATAGGAAGGTTCTGGGAATCGTTACTTGCATGCTTCAATATAGTTGGAGGATTTATGTCGGCACTATGTTTAAGATGCTCAAACGCATATGGGTATTACTGTAAATATGCTACCTCGCAAAATTAGCAACTTAGCTCGTATTCTTTTGACAATAGTAATGATTACACGTGAATTGCACGTGAATAGAAGTTGTAGGAAAAAATTTGTCGCACGCCTAAGTTGACCACAATCAAGATTAGTATGGTATTTGATGAGGTGGCGACAACTAGGAAGACGACCTCTGGAGGGTTTGCCATGTGAGAGAGAAATGAAGAGACAGAGGAAGACTGAGACAACAAACAGTTTATCAAACGAACTCGAACTCGAAGTAATGAGTTTGTAATCATCGAAGTGTGTTCTATTTTGCATTGCTTTTTTTTTTTTGGCTTTTTTCCGCCTTTCGCCTATTAAGGAACTAAGCTATTTCCGTCTTCAACGTAGAGTTTAAGGTAAATCTCTTCAGCCCGATCGCTGATCAATGCTATCGCATGCTCGAATATTAGTTATCATTTAGGTGCGGCTTTCGAACAAGCAATCAAAAATTCCGATTAATCGTTTCTAACCTCACGGGGACTATAACTTATAAATTACGACACTGACATATGTGTGTTATAATTGTCTATTGAGAAATATGGGAGGCCAATTAGACTGGCTCTTCATCAAATTGATGATGTCAAAACGTTTTATGGTTTTGCTTGATTTGAAACGTCACAACCGGTCAATCATAATGCCAATATTAGACGAATCTCAGCAAATTTTGCTTTTGATGTTGAAAAGGTTTGCTTACTTTCTTCCCCACTTTACTATCTCGTGATATTATGCATCCATACAATATCATTTTCAAGCTTGTCGAATAACATTGCTTTGTCTGCGCACTTGAATTTTCAATGTATCATGGATCACATCACTATGAAACTTTTACAAATCTTATCCTTAGGTATTTCTCTCTTTTGAAGATTTTACCTCGGTTAGTAAATTACTCGTACTATTGCATGAAGTACACACATTAACGTATTTTTTAAATGAATAAATAAAACACTTCCATCTCCCGCACATTCATTGAACTTACGGAAAAATAATCATATTTTTTTTGGAATAAACCAAATCATACACGTGTAGAATATGTGTCGTATTACACTCGGGTAAAAGTACTTCGATTGTAAACTTACCGGCTTTCTTACCCGTGGTTCGCACATGTTTTCTTTGCAAAGAGATGATTAAGTGATTCTTGATGTATCATTTTCGTAAGAATTCTCAATCTTAGATAATTTTTCAGTTACCTAGATGGATAAATTGTTCTCAAACATGGATGTGGATGGGCTCCTATAAAATCTACAACTTAAAATACCTCAGCTCTTTCGCATTCCATTTGTGTTTCAATTATGGTCTTTCTCATCAAGAAATCGATCCGGTTATGACCTGGTCAGTCAACACCCATAAAACGAAGAAAAGGTCAAAAAGGGGGATGCTCTCCAAATGCTTGCTTCCAGAACCGTTGCATGCGTCTATGGAGGAATTGATTCCCTTACCTTTATCTGCCATTAACGGTGCATTAATTTCGCGAAAAATGAGTGATTTAAAAAATAATTTTCAAAAAATAATTGCTTATATTATTTAGAAAATTTAGTCTACGGAAAAAGTTTTTATCATTGATAACAATCTATGCCTAATTATTTTTGTGGGCGACGAAAAAATTTTCCATTCATTTATTTTTGTAAGCGATACATGCGATCATTTTTCAGAAAATATTTTTCAAATTACTCATTTTTCAAGAAGCAAACGCACCCTAAAAAAGCTCACATTCTCCTAGAAGAACACTCGGTTGTTCTCCAGTTTCACCCAAAATGGGTTTTAACCCAAACACCAAGGCATTGTTCCCATTTCCGTTAGGGGAAATTCCTTCTATAATCTTTCATGTTACTGTAATAAAATGTTTTTATTTTGTTACTTCTAGGAGAGAAAATTACGAACTTTCCCTTTTCAATAATTATAAGTTTGTTGCAATACTGTCCACCCACGTAACCAAATAAGGCAATTACAAGCGGCTAAACCAAGGGAGGCCAAAGTTAAAGCTAAATAAAATCTTAAGTTTAGGCTATTACGGATCATTATTTCTTTAATTTTTCAGAAGTCCTCTTTTTTTCTTGGGTTGACATTTCGAGGTTTGATATTTGCCCATTTGGTACCTACCGTCACATCCCAAATTCATACCCAGAATCTAGGGAATGGCTGGTCATCCTTTGTAAAATAAATCACGAAGTCTTCAACTGAAAAATAGAGATTCTACAAAATATATATATTAATTTAACAAAACATTTCTCCAAGCAAAAATAATAGCAAAGTTCATAGTGCTGTGAATTAATTCAAAATGAGATTTTGATAAATCCCATTTAATACCCTTTACTTGAGTAATCTAAGATAGAGTCTCATGCCACTTTACGTGGCCCAATTAAGTTTCTTTATCCGCCGAACAAGAAATTGCAATAAAAGGGGTAAGCAAAATCATGACTCCGGAAGTGACAATCATCACTTTTTTGGGATCAAGAAATAAATGGTGCATATTTGCATCAACTATGCAACACAGCACACCAACACAAGTATCACATTGCGGTCAACATATTCCAATACCACATATCATATATCCTCCAAATATGTCAACGTATGGATTCCAAACCTATTGCTCATGTCGAAACATTATGGTCACACTTTGCCAAGTGACAAGGCCTTGAAACTACAACGGTCTGTGCATATATGTCATATCTCAATACATAGGCCAACCATGAGCATCAATATAATATTCGTATATCATATCCAACATACTTATAAATGATTTGAAATAATTCACCCACGACATTTTTTATCCATGTTCAAAATAACACCCAACAAGAAATTCCATTCAATGCCCGATACTATTTTATGAAACAGTATTCCTCAAAATAATTTAATTTTCATTTATTCTCAAAATATGTGCCATAACATGACGTCAGACTTTTCCTTTAAGTAACCGCGTGATGCAAATTTTACCAAAATCATTCAAATGGTGAAACTCGTATGAAGTGAAATTACTCATCGAACAAATTTGAATGTGAATTGCGATGATGTTGTCTAGGACATTTACTTAAATTAAATAGTGAAGGACATTTGGTCAATATATGAGAAGTGGTTATGTGGATCATAGGAAGGTTCCGCGAAATGTCACTTGCACGCGGGCTTCATTTTAGTTGGAGGGTTTATGTCGGCCACTATGTCTATGTTTGAAGCTGAAACGCACACGTGTATTACCGTAGATATGCTACCTCGCAAAGTTAGCAACTTTATCTGTGTCCAAAAAGAAAAAGAGTTAGCAACCTTATCTCATGTTCTTTTGGTTGTGTTGAGCTTCCAAAATAGAGCCCAAGTGTGACAGCCTGACAGGAAATGAAGATTTTGTTATCTTAAGCCCATTTTGTTTTGTAAATAATAAATGATTTAAAATATATTTTTTTTAAAAAATAATTACTTATATAACTTACAAAAATGGATGAACAAAAAAATAATTTCATCATCCACGAAAATGTTTAAACATAATGAAAATATTTCTCATTAATTAATTATTTCAAGCAATATATATAATTATTTTTAGGAAAATATTTTTCAAATCATTCATTTTCCGTAAAATAAATAGGGCCTCAGAGTCAAAATCAGCCAAAACTTTTAACTAGAGAGCGAAAGTAGACTCAAAGATCTTTCCAATCATATGTGACTTGATCCAAATGGAGACGGGGAGAGTGGTTTAAGAGGGACAAACATCACCATGACGAATAGGCAAAACTACCGGGGAGTACGAGTGATAGGTTAAAGGAAAGTGGAAATATCGCGAACCTAGAGTTAGAATCAGCTCAAACCATGAACTAGAGATAAAAATCAGACTCAAAGGACTTTCCAACCAGAGGTGACTCATTCGAAATGGAGGTCAGGAGGTTATTCTAAGAGGGAGAGGCATTGCCGGCGAAAACAGAGCGAAAACTGGAAGTGGCAGTGAGTTCAAGAGAGAAACCATGCCAATCTAGTCAAATTCGTGAGAAAACCAAGCCTCATTCAAGTCCATTCATCTTTAATCTTCATCATCTTGAGGTCTCAAAAGGTATAGCTCTTTTCCTTCTTGCTTTTCTAGTTTGATTTTGGCCCGGTTATCACATGCTGAGCACCGAACCGTAGTCGAAAGTCGAGTATGCTAGCTTGCTATAATGGGCATCGCAAGCTTGTTATCTTGATCTATCGGCTCATTTATCTTGATGGGGATGGCGGGCCGTGAATGGAACTAAAATTAAGTATTGGCATGTTGAAATTTTGTCAAAAACCGTCCGTATCACAGTCTTGTTCGACAACCGGCGTCACTTTTGAGTCCCGCTTGCATTTCTCTGACTTTTTAAGCTTCAACTACGTTCAGGTTGATGCTTATTCTTACACTCTTTCATGTGTACTTTGGATGTTATCAGTAAATTGTTAAGGTAGATATGTGTTGTGGGTAAAATCATAGATGCTTCCGGGACGCACCAGGTTGAATTTCTACGAAAACCGAGCTTGTTTCGACTTGTAAACATCGATGCGTACTCTCTGCCCTTGCCTCATGCATTCTGCTCAGGGGGCATTTGTGTTATCTCGGTCACATTTGTGCATCCTAGGCGAGTCTCGGGTCGATCCTCACAGGTTCTGATGACCTAGGGACGCGTCGAGGTGTTTTGATATTTATTCGGCGTCGCAACTATTGAGATTTAGCCTAAATCTTAGTTAATATTTATTATTAGGGTTAATACCACGAAAAACCCCAAACTGGTACATTTGTAATAAATTTATCTCAAACTAATTTTTTACCACAAAAAACATCAAACTGGTATTCTTATGACAAATTTACTCTCTATTAGTTTCCATTAAATTTTACCGTCAAATTATTGAGTTGGATGACACGTGGTAGTTGACGAGTATACCAGTTTGGGGTTTTACCTCTCAATTTTTCACAGGTTTATCAATTTGTGATTTTTCGTGGTATTAATACAATTTAACGAAGGGTAATTTGTTACAAGTGTACCAATTTTTTGTTTTTTGTGATAAAAAAATTAGTTCGGGATAAATTTGTCATAGGTATACCAGTTGGGTTTTTCGTGGTATTAGTCCTTATTTTTATCCTTTATTTTAAGGAGTTTATATCTTTTAACTAAGATTAATTGCGTGTTTATCCCGAGTTTGGGTCTTTATTTTCCTCGTAATTAATTTAATGACTCGATTATTGGTTGTTTATCTTTATTGCTTGCACAAAATGTATGATCATTTTTACGTGCGGGTGGTTTAAGGTAATAAAATTGATGAACATCGCGTGCAAGCATTTTCATAGAAGAGAAAAAGCACCAAAAGGATGTTATATTAATTTAGGGTTTGATTCACACTCCATGTTCCGAGAAATATTTACCAGGGGTGTAGCGATAACTCGAGACCTTCCTCTCTCAGGCTTAACAATATTGACTAGCTACAGAATATCGAGGGAACTTCGTAGCATAATTAAACAGGGCGTGTGGTTTGGAAAATAGCTTTATTGCTTCCGGATAGCAGCAAATAGGCAAGACTTGATACATATGACTTGATGGACATGATGTCAATTTGGATGCATAATAAGCGCAGAATCCAAGTACCATCTTCGAATGATATACCTTGCGTTCCTCACATGTGAACAACCAGAGAACTTTTGAATAAAGATGTTAAAAGAACCGAAATAGAGAGACATTTTCTGATGGAAAAATTAGTCGCTTAAGAAGGCGCTCAACAAAGCTGTTCTATGGGCAAATGAATGATATTATCAATAATGACAGGGTCGTATACACATAAGTAACTAATATGCCCTCATCGAAGAAGATAATGCCATCACTTCTATCAGACTGTAAACGGAGAATCATCTTTTTCCTAATGCGGCAGTAAGAACGATCAAATCAAGCCTGGATAATTTTTTTTTTTGGTCAGATAAGCCTGGATTTCAATTGGTGGTTTGTCTATCTACGTAAGTCTGACTCCTCTCTTCCTGATGAAGAAACCCCGCTGCATCACTGCCTTTATATTGAGCCAGCCATTAACACCTTTGCTGGTACCTAAACAAAACCATCATCCCATAATAGGGTCTGAAAGGACGTGTTATCATCTCCACAATTCCATCAAATCATCTGACATGGTTGACCAGAAATCTTTCGTCACATGATTGGCTTCAGGAGGACATGTACTACTATATTGGCAGCTTGATATTGGTACAGTGGAAAGAACATGCTCATTTATTATATAGCCCCCTGGGCTCGGAGCGTCGATCATTTGGCTACCCAACGCTTCTTGTAAAGTGATACCATGGGACTCGTTTGGCAATCCGACATTAGTAATACCATCGTCTCCTGGATAAAATGGAACATTCGAGTTGTCTGCAGGTATGGGCTGATAAACTGAGGACATCATGGCATTTCCAAAATAAGCATTTTGGTCTGCAGATATGCGCTGATGTGAAGCGACAGGAACACCTTCATCCATGTCATTTCCAAAATTGGTATTTTGCGATTGTCCTGTCAATGCCAAAGCAGTTCCACCGTTATCTCCAGTAGAAAAAACTAGAACATTAATGTGGTTAATGTTTATAGGCCAAGTGAGCACAGGTCCACGATCTTATACAAAATTTTGGAATGAATAGTTTTGAGCTTTTACTATTCTGAAATCACGGAAAGTGCCACTAATTTCTTTTCCTCACCCTTCACATTTCTTTATTTTTTTCTTGCCACTAGTCTTCGTAACTTTTAAGTGCTTCAATTGACAAGGTCATTTCCCTTCAGAGATTGAACATTTGACTTTTCAATATCTGATGTATAAGTTTAACCAACTAGCCTTCTTTTCTAATGTGATCTTCCAGTCACCATTGATACAAATGCACATATAATCACATTGCCGTGTGCTTATCACATCTATTCATATCTACATTGGGATAGCAATATCTTGTCAATATCCACTTAGCATCACCTAAGTGAAGGTTTTCATGAGTATCTGCCCTCCCCCACAATTCCCCACTTAAAAAGGCACATGTTACCAGCTAAATTTGTGGTAGCTTTTTAATTGATTGGACTAAACACATACGCACATACATACATACACACTCATTGTGCAAATATCACAGCTTACAAAATATATCTTTCGTGTATAATTAGTAGTTGATATTGAATGTTCTCCACATTGCATGTCCTTATAGGTCATTTTGATACTTTAACTCTTAAATCTTTCCTGTCCAAATTATAGTTGCATCTCTTAAATTGAACCTTGATAAAACGAAGTACTTGATTATTGCCCTTGTGCCTCTGTACTGATAGTCTATAAGATTACTCCTTTTGGTAGTGACAACCTACTCCTCTTGATTGTTTTTCGTCAGTGAAAACTATTTCTGAGCATTTCCGATTGCATCTAGAGACACGTTGAAAGCCTAACTTGCAAATGGTAATTCTCTACGCATAACTTATGTGTCAGTGCCAAAGAGGTAGCAAATTTAGTAAAATCATGCAAGTTCAATTGAAGGGTGGCTGGACAAATAAATGTTTTCATATTATGTGGAACCCAAATCATAAGGATCTGAAACACATTGCTTTTATTTATTAAAGCTCAACAATCAAGTGGAAAGTCCTATTTTCATCGCTATTTCACAGGCCACATCTTTGTATGTGCTTGAATGGAGAGGTATTTTTGTGCTCTAGAGCACGTACCTTCAGCAGTCAAGCCCACATTTGCCAGAGGAGCTTCTAGACCCCCTTGAGCGGCACAAATCTGTGGAGTCAAAGAGCTTGAGCTTTTCTTTTGCATCGAAGGAGACAAGGTCTCACCATTGAACTCCATAACATCAATGTTGTTATCAAGGACCTTTTTCACGATTGTATCTCCATATTCCTGGAAGAAAATCACTCGGTAATTGCTCAAGTTGGACTACTGGAACTATTTATCTCAACTATTGAAGGTACACGCTCTGACTTCAAGTTCTTTTTTTGGCAAGTAATGTTGCATTCCCATGGATGAAACTGTATTCAGAGTAAGCACGCAAGGGCAGCACAGAGAGAATAAAAAAGCCACTGAAAGAACCTCAATTTATTTTACGCCTATCGCCACCGATGCATTTCTGCACCACATAAAGGTCAGGTGCTCGAAAGATGTTATGAAGAGTACAATCAAGGCAAGGTTCCTTAGGGTAAAGATGCAAAGATCGAGAGAGGGAGTGAAGAAATAAAACACGCATCAACTTGTATAGCGCAAGTCATTAAGATCTTCATAGTTTTAAACTTGGAGAGTAATAGTTGCAACGCGAATGTGTTAATCGTTCTAACTACAATCTGATGATGAGTGACTCAGATATTCATGGATGTCTGATGACACCAAATCAACTGTTGAAAGTGCTCTCTAACTCACTCGTGTTTTCTCGTTATGATTTTAACCGCAAAGTACAGAAGGCCACTTTGATTTACAAGGTCGCTATCCTCGACTTTGCATTGCAAAGAGCGAAATCTCAAAATCACTCTATTAATAGAAAGTCTCTATTATGGATCTAAACAAAGCCTCTAGATTTTATTTTTTTTAATTCTCTCCCCAGGCACTTCATATTACTCTCACTGATAAAACAAAAAACGAAGCATCTAGATGTCCAACCAACTCCTCGTTTCATGTTTCCATATCTCTGATCAAGTCTAACACCTATTAAGCCACACGGCTGAGTAAACATCAAATTACTGACTACATAGATAATATTGGACAAATTATATGAATTCAGCATGATGGGGATTAGCGAATGAGCTGGAGTGACAAAACTCAGAAGGAACTCCTTAGTTACTTACCTTCTCTCGGGCAGAAAGTTGATGAGTAGCAACATATACCCTGTCTATGATTAGGCCGATCAGTTGATCATCAGCGTCGAGTAGAGCACCATCCTTCCTCATGCTATCCATATAGTACAAACAAAGTTTCCGATTTATTTTGCAATCCCTTGCATGAAGAACGAGGCTATCCCAGTTCTTTGGTGTTATGCTCTTTCCAAGGATCTATGATGAGTGCAAACACAAAACTTACGTTCTTGGTAATCAATCAAACCCTAATTGAGAATCATTAACTAAGTGCTTACCTGTCTCAGTTTGACGGGGTCCATAATCAGTTGCAGTACAAAGTCCTCCACTTTATGTATTCTGGCTTCACTCAATTTTTTGTGAGATTTCCCATCTTTGGCAATCTTCTCCAACCTCCAGACCTCATCATCAGGTTTAGGAGGATAACTTTTCTTATTTGCTGTAAAATAAAAGGAAACTAGTCACCATAAGATCGATGAGTAGAAGCAAAATTCTGACAGGCGTGCAAACTCTCTCCTGAAACTGATCCAAATATGTGCTAGCAACAAGAAGCATACCATCTCTTATTTATCAGAATTTTCGTTTGAGATGTAAAGGTCCGTATGAAACGAAGCTCTCAATTAGAAAATTGAAGACTCTTGATGTCCAAAACCATGTTTATGGTCAGTCATCAAGTACAAGGTTTATATACTGTAAAAAGGCAAAGAAGGATCCACCTTCTCCTCTATGTTCCTTAACGGGGAAGGCATCTGTTTTTGCTTCTTGAATTCGTGTATCCCCACAATAATCCGATGCCACCTTAAGCCCTATCCTGAATCTTTTACTCTTATTCCAGCTGGAATTGTCCGTAAATGTCAGGTCTCCCAGCTCCCCAACACCTCCCTTGAGCTTCACTTGGAGATCTCCTGTCAAAAGCGGCCTCTTTCCTTCACGTTCTTTAACCATGTACTTCTCAAACTCTTCTTGGGCCCAGTTATCCTCATCTTCTTTGTTGAAGTCACCTTCAAGCACGACAACGTCCAACTTAATGGAGGATTCGGGGCCTGATGTAACGACATACCCTGTATTCACATCGATCAAGGCAACGGAAATGCAAGCACCCCCCTCTCCTTCTAGTTTCTTTCCGGTGAATAGAGGAAGTGACAGTTTGGTTCGAAATTGGAGCTGTAAGTTTCTCCCATTATTATTTGCCGTAGATTCAGCATTAGCCCTGCATTCTCCAGGGGAAACAACCATTAGAAACAGGAACAGGTATGGAAGCGGAAAATTGGAAAAGCAACGATAAAGAGAGACAAACTACCAAACATCTCACTTGGACAAGTCTTACTGCCAGGGAAACTACAAGGATTAATAGATCTGGTGTCTCAGAGAGTTTAATACTGCAAATTCTTTAAAAAAATAACAAAATAAAATGCTCTACTGCTCTCAAGGTACAAAAATTATGTTCTAAATTGGAACATTGACATGGCACACGACCGAGTCACTTTTGGCCTGACGCTCACTGAGCTATGACAGTGACCGCCTGCTGTGGGTTGGTAGTGGTAGTTCGGACTATTATTCCCCTAAAACATCAACATGCATAACCTTTTAATGCTAAACAGAAAGCCTTTCTCAACAGCATCACGGGCAAAGTTCATTCATACCTTCCGAGGTGGGGAGAGTGAATGTTTGCAAGTTCCACTGCTTCCTTCTGTCAATACCACCAGCAGCAGAATTGCCAAAGTTGGAGACATAAAAAATATGAAGCAGAAGGGATACAAAACCAATCCATTCCATCAAAAAGTGTTGAAAACTTCCTTCATAAAAACAACTTATCGAACACCTTATTGAGCTAAGTTCTTCAGGCACATTTCAAATTCCAGTGTTTACCAAATAGCAGTTGCATATATAGCTTATATGAGCAATCCTAAGGATTTTTATTATCCCCTTTCATTGTCCATGAAAAATGTTACAAGTGCTTTGGAACGGTTATGATTCAGCTTTAGGTGATAAAGCCACAGTAGTGGATGTTGTTGAGGCAAATGAATGGAGATGGCCTACTGCAAGTTCTGACATCTGCTTGAAACTCAGATGGCTTTGTGTGGGTTGATTGCTCCAAACTCTGGCTCCATAGACAGAGTGGTATTTACTGGATCGTCTGGGGGCTCTTTCTCTGTAAAGGAGGCTTGGAAGCTCGTAAGGAAATGTATGAACAAAGCTACTTGGCTTAAGCTTGTATTGTTTAAGCGTAATGTGCCAAATTTGGCTTTATAACTTGGCTAGTCATTCACAATAGGTTGCACACATTGGACAGGGTGAAAACTTGGTCTGACAGTGATAGCACTTGTGTGCTATGTGGACAACTTGAAGAATCTCGAATGCACTTGCTCTTTAGTGTGTATACTCAAAGCAGATTTTGGGAACAAGTTTATAGCTACTCTCAATTCCTAGATCTGCAAGTGATTGGAAGGATGAATTTACTTGGAATGCAACCATTTATTATCTCTGGAGAGAGAGGAACTTAGTGAAGCATGAAAAAGTATCCCTTCAAGTTTGTCGTGACCTTGATGCAGTTGTTTTTTTTTTTTCCCTTAAAGTCTCTTTAGAAGCTACCATTCAGGAAGGAAATAAGACACTGATGATGTTTAGTATTTGTGGACAAATTGGCAAGTTCTTGGTGGCTAACTTTGCTGCAATCTGCTGGCATGGTTTTTGAGTTTGCATCTTGTTTTTCTGGGTAGTATTTTGCTGTTGCTACCGGTAGTGTAGATGGGGAAGACTATGATGTCATGTTGTCATTTGGTGTGCGGTGTCATCAGATTGAAAGTCAACTTGATGAATTAATCTCAAGTTATCAGGCTTTCCCATTAAATATGTTGCTCAAAAGGATCTCCCATCCTTTATGTCGAGCAGGGATGAAAGTTCCCCTTAGTGATCCGACAGTGCCGAGTAGAAGGACAGGATAAATGTTACTTTAGGGATAGCAGACTAATCTTCCCTCAGAGTTCACATCTACGGGAAGGTTGGGCACCACGACTCAGCTGTATATGTGCAATGGACTTGTATGGGATGTGACCTCCCTTGTTTTTCTTCCATAGGTTGTCCAATAAAATGAAAATTTACTTATAAAAAAAGATGTGCAAAGTTTGTGCTCAATGAATGCTGTTCAAACAGTCGACATGTGGAAATTTTATATACTCTCTTTATCTTACCTTTTTCGGAACAGCATTCTTCGTTGAGCTTATCTGTTGCATAATCTCTTTGAGAGCATTCTCCATGGAACTACACCATGGAAATTGACACCGGGAACAAATGATGTCTTGTGGAATTATTCGTAACAAATAGACAAATATCTATATGTAACACTTCAGTTACTAGTACATATGAATGTCAGACATAATTACCAGACTCATCAGATGCATTCCCTTAATTGACGGCAACAGAGAAAAGTCAACGTAAAGCTGGAATACATATTTATCCAGTACATTGATAGCAGAAGCAAGTAAAGTTAATTAGCAGCTATCTCCAAGTGCACCATCCTTTCAGTGATTGACAACGAAATGTATGTGCAGGTATTACACTTTGCTGAACAGAATCGTGGATTGATGACTTATGATACTCGACGATATTTCTAGTTGGCGAAACAATACACATGGAAATTCTCCTAGAAGAATCAGTTGATGCAGATTTAGCAACAAACCAAATAAAATATATTCACCTTTGAAAGTATTCGGCCAAGTCAGATTTAGCACGCTCCCACTCTTCCCTGACCTGTCCAGCAAATTAGAGCAATAGCGAAGAATTACATTGCAATCTGTCACGTATTCATCTCATTCAAGTTTCACATCACAGGTACTCTCATTGTCCTCCTTCGACATGCAAGTTGTCGTTGACCACATTTTCCAAGATTCAAGGAAAAAATTATGTCCAAGCCACTTCATTGAAAATCTGGATCTTTTTGTGATCCATACCGTCCGAAACAACATGAAAAGCCTAAATCATGTTATTAGCGGCATTGCTTCACAGGAAAAGCGTAGAACAGTCAGCGGGTCATTTTTACCACTCAAGCGATAATTCTGTATGCATCTCGCTGCAATTTCTCGTGAAAATTTCTATCCAGAAACTGATTGGAAGGTCAGAAATGCATCCAACCACTTCTAATCAAAGAGATCAGCAACTGAAATACAATAAAGACTCTACTTTTTATGTCCAAGTTAGCTACTCTACTCGTCTCACCACTGTCCGGACATCCTCCTTCGTCAACCAGCTCCTCAGCATGAGATTCCTCTTGGACCCGTGCCATACTTGACTGTGTGAAGATCACCACAAAAGTACAATCAAGATAGGAAAATTTAGCAAACAGGACAGCAAAGTAACCCAGAAACAACAACAGCTCACAGGCTAGGTAAAAGTTTCCAACAGTGTTTCATTCGAATAAGGAGGAAATACTGCGATTGGCCCGTGCCGAAATCGCATAACAGATTCGAGATGGGCACCATTGGAGGTCTTTAATGCTTCGTATCTAAGCCACAGCACAAACCCACGAACAAAAAACTGAACGAAAGAGATTTAGAACCGTCACGAGGCAAAAGCTAATCCATGTTATGCTTCAACGCAGGCTTCGCCATATTTCCTCATTCCAAGAATCTTCAGCTCAAGGACTCTTCATTGAGTATCCCTCAAGTAAAGCTAAAACGAACACCACCATCAAACAATCGATCAAGCATCGAAACGTGGAGAGGGAAGAGTGAACTTAACCTCACTGGAGTGGTGCGCGGCCTCTTGAGTTGACTTGGTTGACCTGAAGAAGTGGAAGCCAAAGCTCTCTTTTGCATCAACATGATTCTCTTCCCTTTCGCGGAGCTTACCAAGAACTTGGAAGGATTTGGTCGCTGAACAAACGGGAACAAATGTAGCAGAGAAAACGAAGGCGATGATGAACAGTCAATGCACGAACTCAAGCTCGAACTCCAAAGCAATGAGTTCGTAATCACTGGACTGTGTTTTATTCTGTACTGTCCGAACGAGTAGGGACGCCAGTTTCCAAGAATCTTGAAGGTCCAATTCCCGGAAACGTAACCGGTTTTTAAAATTGCTCTTTTCCTTTTCTCAAACTCTGGAAATTGACAAAAAAAACTTAATTTAATGTGCGTTGTAGTTATCTAACGAGAAAATTTATGCACATTCGAGGAGGAATGTTGCATGGCTCTTCATCAAATTGATGATGTCAAAAAAATTATTGTGAAAAGAAAAAAAGAAAAAATAAAGAAAGATTAATATCACAAAAGATCTTAAACTGATAAACTCGTGACAAATATACTCTAAACTAATCAAACCATATGGAGTTTTTGGTTCCACTTCCGCCACTTCCAGTTCCAGTTCAAAAAACTCAAATTGATACATTTATGATAAATTTATTTTTCGTTAGTTTCCTTTAAATTAGATTAATACCACGAAAAACTACAAATTGATACATTTATGACAAACGGAGGGTAAAATTCTAATTTGGTACACCCGTCAACTGCCACATGTCGTCCAACAGTAAAATTTAATGGAAAGTAACAATGAATAAATTTTTCATAGGTATATCAGTTTAGAATTTTTAGTACAAGCCAATTTGAAATTTTTTATGGTATTAAACCAAAAAAGAATGCGCGTGGATAACCGGTAGGTGGTACTTAGTAGAGTGGATTAAATTAATTAAGGGATTTGCTTTTGCAACGCGAGCAGGTGAAGTAGGGGTCGATTCGCTTATTTTGGTCAACGCCCAAGGCGGCTTGGCTTTTTTGGCGTACGTGGCTAGATTTTAGCCGTCCATCCTTCTCTCCCTCCCTTCTGTCTCGCCATGGCGGTCGAAATTTCGGACATCACATTGCCCTCTACCGCGACCACTCCAAAGATGCTTTGGCCGAACCCGGAAATTACGGATCGGCAGATGATCAATTACGGATCGGCAGATGATCGGACTTGTAGGGATTTTTCAAAGGCAAAAGTCGTGCATGGGGCCAGCTTGATAACCCGATTAACTGCTAAAAATTGATAAGTTCAGCAATTAACGAGATTAAGATTGCGTGACAACTTTAAACAGAATCGACTTCAATCGAACCAAGAGGGGAGTTTACTCCAAAATTAATGGGTTATGTAAATTCGATTTGGAAATTAGTACCTTTCATTATTTTTCGCGGTTTATGATTTCGAAATTTAGGGTTTCCTCACCATGCACGCATGAAAATAGTAGGTCTTTGCAAATACCTGAGGTTCGATGTTTGTACCGTCACGGAAATTGAGTCAAGGAGGAACACGCAAGGGATGTCGCCTCCTGGAGAGCAAAATGCCCAACGCACAACATTTTCAGAGGTTAAACTCAAATGAGCTTGTAATCTCACTCCCCATGAGCTAGATTTCTGGCTCTTTCACCGACCGTATGATTAGACAGTTTAAATTTGATTACGGCGAAGTGTTGTAATATCATAGATTTACATGTACAACGTTTTTATACTTGGTTACGATTCCATGTCGTAAAGTTGTACTATATGATAGGTGTATCTTAAAAGTGTGGAAGAGGGAGAGAGACATATTAGTGGGACATTACTGGCTATTTGATTCTGAATTGTCAAATATAGTATTCAATTTGCGTGGTTCGCAAAAATTAACCATAATTTAACAGCTACCTTCACTAACTTTCCACTACCCTATTGGCTTTAAGAGTCTCTCTCCATACCCATACCAAGAGTTTGGAAGTTGCTACTTGGTAATGAGAGGAGAGAGAATGTTTACTATATAGTTCTATTGTAATTATCGCCAGCAATTTGTCCACAAATTCAATCCCTTTTAGGCGATGGCATGGCAGAACTACAATGACAAACGAAAAATAGAAGCCAGATGGGTGCATTAGAATTTGGATACCAAAAAGCATAGTGCTCATACTTTGATTAATCGGAATAGAAATTTCATCATTTCATTCGGTAAACTACAAACTTCTGATACACTAAACATGACTCAACTCACATTATTGAGATAAATAAAAAGTCTCTTCGGCCAATGCTCTGAATAAAATCCAAAAAGTTTGTTGGGGAGCAAGCTGCGCTTGATTGGTAGCCACATGATTCAAGCCCTCAGTCACCTCGAAGTAGCCAATCAATATCGTCATCTTCAGTATCTAAAGAGAAATACAATACCATAAGAATGTGACCACGCTTCTAATTTCTCTTGAACCATATTGTACATTTGCTGAAACTCATGCTACTGATGAGGCCATCCTATGTCCACTACAGGTTTTCCAATAAGTTAGTATACATAATTTGCCACGATAGTTGCACTTCAATCAGTCCTTATCATCAGATAAGTCATATTAATGAGATAATGCAACTGTTGTAGAGAGATAATCATAATTGATATCTTAGACAGCACCTACATAACTCTTTGTATGCGGTTACAACATTTGTAAATTGGCTAGACCCTATCAAACCCCTAATAAGAGGTTTTCAGTATGACAAAATTGAGTCGAGTATCATATTTGAGATGCCAAATGATTTAGCGTTTCATTTGAGCCAGCTTCACGCTTACTTGTTTAGCTTCCAAATGGGACTGATCATAGCATATATCACAAAAATATCCATCTCTTTAAACTCATTAAATGGGTCTATAACGCTAATTTCACCATCCCGGTGTTGTGGACTATTGGGTTCTTATTGTCACTCTTTTATATGGTTGCTAACAAAATCGCTTTCATTAATGAGAAGAAATGAGCCGGTTCAATTCCTACTCTTCTATACACAAACATGAATCTATCCCATGAAAATGGATCATGACCCAAAAATATTAAAGCCATAGAAAAACGTTTTTCCCAAATAGAAAAAACACCTTCAAATTCTTTACCAAAAAAAAAAACACCTTCAAAAGATTTTTTTCCGCTTTCATATCCTTCTTTCACCAAACACATTTTCCTTCTCTTTTTTTTTATTTTTTTTAAATAGAGTTTTTTTTCTTTTTTTTTTCTTCTACCTCAACCGATAACTGGCCACAAGCGAGCTCTAGCCTCATTAGCTGGCGAGGCTTTGGCGAGGCTCAAGGCCGGCGAGGCTTTGGAGAGTCTCGAGGCCCAACTTGCCAGATCCGACGGGGCTCAAGCTCACTAGCCTGTGGCGAGGCTCGAGCTCGCTTGTGGCCGGTCGTTGGCCGTTGCTGTGACCGAGAACCAGCCGGAGAAGAAGGGGAAAAAAAGAAAGAATAGAAAACAAAATAAAAATAAGGATATTAAAATTTTGATTTTTTAAAATAAAAAAAATATTAAAAGTTGTGCATGGAGAAAAATCAAATAAGATTTTCTATACTAAATAGCGGAAAGTATTTTCTTGGTCTTTTTCAGATTTCAGTTGAACACTGAAAAATTATGTTATTTTTCAAAAAAATGATTTTTCAAAAAATATTTTTTAAAAATATCGTATTTTTCGCAAAATGAACGGAGCTTGAGTCAAGGAGGAATAAGCAAGGGCTGTCGCCTCCTCGAGAGCCAACAACCCAACGTACAACATATTTAGAGGTTAAACTCAAAAGAGTTGGTAATCTTACTCCCCGTAAGCTAGATTTCTGACTCTTTCAACGACCGTACAATTAGACAATTAAAATTTTGAGAGGTTAAACCAATGCATAGCACGGTCTTGAACTTGTTCAGCTTTCATCTTGAGGCGCTTGATCTCTGGACGATTGGCGGACTTCACAGGCACCTCGGGTATCTTCGGGAGTAGTTCAGTCGGAATCTTGTGTTGACGGATGTATTCGGTTGAGGCATAATACCTCTTCTCTTTACCTTCTAGCTCCTTCTCAAGCTATATCAACTTCCGAGGTCGGCAAACATCCTGCATCGATTTGATCATGCTAACGATGTCTTCGTAGTCACAATCCTCGTAGGTGAAATTGACCCAGAGTAGGTCCATCTGTAGTGCGGGGGGAATCTCTTGCACAACTTGATATTGGCCAGTCACCCTAGACGGGTAGTAATCTATAGCGCTAGTGAACCCCAATAAAGGGACCGGACCACTATCTCCACATGTGATCCCATGCTTCACGAAGTTGGAACCATTTAGCATGCCATAGGAAACCTTTGGGACTTGGGTTTATCATAAAAACTAGCCATTCGGAGTAATGAAATTCTGGAGCATGTTCTTTCATGGGAGATTTACTTTACTTCAACGAATGAGAAATTATGGATTCAGGGACTTGATTACGCTAGATTATTCTAAAGCCATTTTAGTACCTTTTCTCGTTTTATGAAAAATGTTTTGTAGACAGTTTGGATTGATTTTAAACCGATCCATTAACATGTGAGGTAGTCATGCAGTTGCACAACTATTAATGAAACATTAAATAATCATAGCGATAAATAAATTGCAAGGGTAAGTAGGGAATTTACTTACCTCGATGCATAGCACTCTGCCGCAATATCAAACAATGAGAAAACACATATTCTTCCTAGATATGGTTTCTAATTTCCAAGCAAACTTAATCAACTTTTTTTGGGTTTTCAATTATTTAATGAAAACTAAATTATGTGCAATGCATGTCATGCAAGCCTACTCTGAATAAAATGACGTAGGAAGTATTATCTACTCTAGCATGGCATGTTATTTAACTACATGACCTAATTCTAGTGAACTATTATTGCATGACATGCAATTCTATATTAAATGACCCTAAACATGTAGTCACTAAATGACATGTAAGTGATGACATGGCATATATGATGACATAGACAATGACATGGCATTGATGACGTGGCACAATGACATGGCGAGATGACGTAGCATATAATGATGATGAGGCAACATGACGTGGCATAATGCAATGACGTAGCTAGATGATGTGAAATGACATAGAATGTATGCACCTTATTCCATATGACGTGCAACTTTTAATTAAATGAACTTAATATGCAACTTCTGTGACATGCGCATGACATAGCACTATGACATGACCTGAACTACATGACATGCAAATGATATTTTTAGCATTTTTTTTAAATTCGGAATTAAAATTACCATTATTTAAACATGCAATCTTACCTAGGAAAGAAATCTAGTTTATCCTAAGATAATGTTTTTGGTATTTTTTATTAAATTAGTAATTAAAATTTACTAAAAAATCAATTATATAGAACAAGATAATATCTTACTTAAACTAGTAAGTAATTTAAGTCAAATCCTAATTTAAGTCGGAAAATTATCTTAATCTTCTAAAATTTACCTAAACATAGAGTCTACCCAAACTTTCCCAACATGCAAGGTTATCTAGAAGTAAATCTATCCTAATGTTTTAAGGGAAGATTATCTAAAACCTATTATAGAAATCGTATCTAATATTTTTATATTTTTTGAATAAAGGAAACAAATCAAGATAAGATAATCATCCAATATCGTACATCAATTCAAAGAAAGATAAGCATGAAATATTCTAGTCATCCAAATTTGCTAACAAATTAAAACGACGAATCATATCCAATGGCATAAGGATCGCATTGGCCGATTTTTCATGCGGTCACGAGTCGTATCTCGAGCATGAGATCAGACTATCAAACAATGCCCATTGTCAAATTAGGAAAATTTTCTAATTTAAGGGATATGCCATATCACTCAAAGATTTGAATTAGATAGCAATATCAACCAAATTAGTTAACGAAATATTCGAATTGATATCAGATGAGATTGTTACCTCATTTAAAAACTTGTTATCCAAATCGGATCGGCAACGTGGGACTCACGCGATGGCCGAAAGTGGTGGTTCGGTCAAGAAAGGGGCAACTCATGGTGACAGGGCTATCGATAGGCTGGCTGGAGCAACTTGGTGACTCGCAGGGTGGCACGGCCGAGTGTAACAAACGGCAAGGCAGCGTTAGGCTCAATACTAGGTCACAAGTTGGCTCTTGTCATGGGGGTCTCGGCTTGGGAGCAAGGCAGCAACATAGGTCACTGGGTCGTTGGAAACTACAGATCAGGGCCGATGCAAGGATTGTCTCGACCGGTGCAAGAAGCAGCACGACACGTTGCGAGGCCCCAAAAGTAGTAGCTCGTCTCAGTGTAGGACTGGTTGGCTCGGCATAGGGGCTGGAGTCGTGGCCGAGCAACAAGGGCCACGGATCAAGATGGAGCCAGTGCAAGCGCGGCCGAGAGGGGGAGCTAGGCTAGGGCCAGACGCAAGGCTCGAGCTTCAACTAGGCAGTTGGGACTCCTCTTCGTCGCTCTCTCTCTCTATTCTTCACATGTGTCCCTCAATGTGCTATTTTGAGAATTATGATTGCCAACCTCCTAGGTTATAAGGTATGAATGAATATTTATGAGATTAACCTAGGTTCTGAGCACATTGACTGGAGTGAGGCATGTTTCAAAATTGAAGAAGAACCTGATTTCCTTGAGTGTCCTGGATTTAGCTGGGTGTCAGTATACTTCAGAAGGTGGAATCCTGAAAGTTGTTCAAGATGCCTCGGTGATAACAAAACGAGATAAGCACGGTGGTCTGTATGAGCTTCAAGGTGAGACAGTGACGGAATTGGCCGCGGAGACGTTGGAGGCATCTGTTCGATAGTTTGAATTGTGGCATATGTGTTTGGGGTATATTAGCGAAAAAAAATCTGAAGGTTCTTAGTAAAAGGAATATGTTGTGTGGTTATGTTGCTAACGAACTGAATGTCTACAGGTGCTATGACTTAGATCAATGGCGGAAAGTGCAGTTTAGTACGATTGTCAATGAAACCACAAAAATTGCAGAGTTAATGCACTTGAATGTTCGAAGGTTGTCGTGGTTTCCTTCGAGTAAAAGTGCTAGATTTATGCTAACAGTTATAGATGACTACTCGAGAAATACTTGGGTGTTTGTGATTAGGCACAAGTTTGATATTGTTGTCAGGATCATGCACTTTGATACTTTTATCATGATCATGCAGTTGGGAGCTTTAATCAAAAAGGAGATTGGTAAAATGATCAAGCATGTGCGAACTAATTGTAGCATAAAGTTTTGATCGAAGTTATTAAATGAATTCTGCATGAAGGAAGGCATGGTGAGACACCGCACTTGTGCTAGTGAACCACAATATATTGCAAAGTTGATGAGTAGAACATTACTAGAGACGGC